AGTTGCACGGGCCTCCAATAAAAGGATTTCAGGAGAAAAAAAAAAAAAGGAGTCGGAGCCCCGCCCTTTCCGGCGCCGCCCCTCCCCCCGCGCCGGCTGTAACGTTCGCTCCTGGCGAAGCCAGTGCCGCCGCCGCCACCATGATCATCTACCGGGACCTCATCAGCCGAGACGAGATGTTCTCCGACGTCTACAAGATCCGGGAGGTCACAGACGGGCTGTGTCTGGAAGTGGAGGGCACGATGGTCCGTAGGACCCAAGGTTACATCGACGACAAGCTCATCGGTGGCAACGCCTCCGCCGAAGGCCCCGAGGGCGATGGACCGGAGAGCACCGTGGTCACCGGCGTGGACATCGTCATGAACCATCACTTGCAGGAGACGAGCTTCACCAAGGAAGCCTACAAGAGGTACATCAAGGACTACATGAAGTCCATCAAAGGCAAGCTCGAGGAGCGCAAACCGGAACGCGTGCAGCCCTTCATGACCGGGGCTGCCGAGCAGATCAAGCACATCCTCGCAAATTTCAAAAAGTACCAGTTCTTTCTGGGTGAGAACATGAATCCCGACGGCATGGTTGCCCTGCTGGACTACCGTGAGGGCGGCGGGACCCCGTATATGATCTTCTTTAAGGACGGTTTGGAGATGGAGAAGTGCTGACAGAGGGCAGCGCACGACCGCCGCCCGCCTCTCCTCCTAGCCGGCCGGTTCACCCACCCGACACCAGGACTGACAAACGGAACTGATGGTCATCGTGAGCTCTTCCTTTGCTTTTGACCTTGATTTATCTGAAGCGGTGACTTTGACTTATTTAGAGCGGAGGCTTTTTTCTTTTTTTAAGGAAAAAAAAAGCCATGTGTTGTTGTCTAAAAATAAAATGCCTTTAAACTAAAATAAAGGAGTTGGAAACGCACAGGCAGTTCTACTCTGTCCTTTGAGGGTGGCTGTGAGTCGGGATTGACTCCACGTCAATGCGTTTTGGTTGAAGTGTGGCCTGGACACTGTCTGAGCGCCTCAGGTGGTTCTCACGTGACCCCAGGTCTGGGAGCCGCTTCGCAAACTTCGACGAGCGTGCGTATCACCAGGGAGTGTTATTTAACTGGCGGTGGGTGGCCTGCACCTTGAAGGGTTGAAGAGCACCATGCAAAAGGGACAGGGGAGCTGGCTTTGACCTTTTCCACCCTCACAAGGGGGCATCTGTGGGCAGGGAGCTGATGTGAAGAGGAGCGGTCAGCGGGGAAAACCGTGGGAGGGGTCCACAGAACTCCACGTGTAATCTGGGTCACTGAATCGCACCTGCACGGTTGATTCGGTCATCTGTTTTACTGGGTATCTTCTCACAACAGATGTTCTGCCCAGGCGTGAAGTTACAGTGAACCAGGAGATGAGAAGGGGGGAGGGTAAGTGAAGCTAATTGCTAGGTGTGTTAGTCTGGGTAGACTAGAGAAACAAATTTATGGTCACTGAGAGTTTTATATAAAGGGTAATTATATATTAAGAAA